AATAACAACAATAATATCATCATGGCGGGTGGCAGCGGTGGCAGCAGGCAGCAGGGGGCGGTAGCAGCAGTGGTGGTGGTGGTAGGACCGGAATGGGGCCAGTCCAAAGGCCTCAGGGAGCCACATCCAGCCTTAGGTTGCCTACCCCTGGTCTAGAGCTTTGAAAACATTATGGTTTTGGATTATAACTCTAACAGCTCCCTAACATGTGGGAGCTGTAATTCCAGAAAAGCTTTTCCAAACTCAGCTGTTATCTGTGCAAAGTTGGGAAATGAAAGTTTGGCTTAGTAATTGCTGGTGGGCAGAAGAGCAGGTTATTCCACCAAAATAGAGGGGATACTGAGAAGTGAAATTACAGAGGGATACACACTTGTATACAAAGCGATGAACCTTTTGAAGACATCTCCCTGACATCAATGAGAAGAGTGGATTTGCCAAAGATTCTGTAACCAGGAAATGCCAATTCTATAATTGGGAGTGACATATGGATATGCCATCTTCACTAGGGACTTTATCACACAGGGAAAATCAGGGGGGAAATCAGGGGTTTAAAGAGCCATTATTCCGCAATTGGGTGAATTTTTTTTTACACGCTGTCATGATTAAAGAGCCATTATTCCAGCAATAAACAGGAAATAAACAAATCATTCACGGGGAAATCCCGTGTTAACCATAGCTGCTGTGGCTTCCCTGAGTCAGCCAGTTACCTGGGCTGGGTCCATTTTGTAAAGGAGAAGAGGATTAGGTATCAATCGGGGTGGGCAAAGTAGGGTCTGTGGACTACATGAGACCCATGGGACTCCCAAGTGTAGCCCATGGGAGCCTCACAAGCCACTTCTGGATCCCCATTTTTTTAAAAATCAGGCTAATTTGGGGGTAATTCTTTTGTCCCTACATCTTCCCAAATCTCCTAAAACTGCCTTAAAAGGCAACAATTTGCTCACCTAAACGCCTCCCCTAAACTTCTCCAAAATACCCCCCCCCATTGAAAATTGGCCCAAATGGCATCTGGAAGTGACTTTGGATCACTTTGGATATGTTGGAATGTGCTGCTGTGGCCTGCCAGGTGAGCACAGGAAGGCAAAATGGTCACTGCCATGTATTCAGTTGCCCACCTCTGGTATAGTTGCTGTGTGCCTTTAAGTTGTTTCCAGTTTATAACAACCCTAAATAAGATTTGTTTACAGCATGTTTTCTTTTGCCTTCCTCTGAGGCAGAGAGAGTATGACTTGCCAAAGGTCACCCAGTGGTTTCCATGGCCAAGCAGAGATTTGAACCCTAGTCTCCAGAGCCCTAGCCTAAGACTATAACCAGTACACCACTCACTCTCCCCTGGTATAGACAATGAGCAAAACATTCCATCCTGTATCATCACTGAGGCATTGTTTTCCCCACATTCCCATACAAAGCAGAGAATAGGAACCTATTATTTATACTAAACTGAACGTGTTGGTGACAGAATTGAACCTGCTTGCCTCACCTCGTTGCAGCTGTCACTCAGAATACTAGGAGTGAAGTGAGCTGTGGAGAAAATTGTTTGAAGTAATGGAGCACTGTATGTACTGCTTGTTGGGCAAATAACACACCCTCCCTTGCTTTATATATGAATGTGATAGGCAGGTATAAATGCCCATGGCATTCCCAGTCACATCTCGTATTGCCCTAGAGCTCAGCAAAGTTACTTTTTTGGACTACAGTTCCCCAAATCTCCAGCCATTGTGGCCAGTAATAAAAAATTATCTTTGACAGCATAACATTGCAGGAATTCCATTCCCTCACAATGTTATTTAGTTTTCTCACCAGCTGATTCATCCCACACCTTGCAATAACAGAGAATCTATTCCATGCCACAACACTGTCTTCCTTCTCCAGCAAGCTTGTTTTATGCAACCCAGTGTCAAGATGAAGCTTAGGATAGATTGTGGTGTAACAAAGGATAGCAAGCTTGTGTACAAGAATGCATCTTTCATTGTCTTTCCGGAACGTGTTCTGTGTGGTAGAGCATTGATTCTCATCCAAGTCACCTATTGTGTTCAGAGAAACCTGACCAGAAGACATCTGTTGCATGAAGCAGACCGACAAGACAACACACCTGCTGGGGTCAAAGCAGTCTTGCCCAGCATGCCTACAACAGGCGGAAAGTACTTTTTCCACCAGCTGAGGCCATGGTGTGGTGCATCTGTAAAACAGCATGGAAAAGGACACAAATGGCACATCCCTAGCCCACCTATTTCCTTTTCATTTCCTTTTTTTGGGGGGCTCATTTGCATACTTTATGAAAGACCATTCCATGCAACAAAAGCACCATGGCAGCTAATGTCCACCACAGGTTGCACCAGCCACCAATACTCATCAATAGTCCTCTGTCAGTCTGTCCACTTTAGGGGAAGACAGCTTAACTACCTTTCTTTCGTAGGTTTGTGTGTCTAGGGACGTTATCACACGCGGAGTCTCAAAGCAGCAAGAAAGCGGCATGGAATCAATCCAGAACCATACCAGAATGGACCCCATAGCTTCAGACGAGAAAGCAGCATCATTCCGGTATGGTTCTGGATTGATTCTGGTCGCGGCAGCTGTAATTCCTCTTTGAAAGAGGAATTGCAAAGAACGGGGATGATGCTGCAATGCGCCGGGGATGGTGCAGGGATGGGCAGGGTTTTGTGCGATGTCGTGTGATCACAGGGGCAAAGGATCCGGAATGGGACAGGGATGGTGCGGGGATGATGCAGGGATGGGCGGGGTTTTGTGCGACGTTGTGTGATCATAGGGGCAAAGGATCCGGAATGGGATGGGGATGGTGCGGGGATGGGACTGGTTTAGACCCCGTGTGATAACATCCTAGGATTGCCACACTTGATCTGAGATGGGACTGCTCTAACTTTGGGCCTCGGCAGACGGCTTTAAAAGCCGTCCTCGGGGCAAGGAAGGGGAGGGGCAGCTGCACGCTTGGTGCCCCTTCCTCCTCCTGAGGTCGTCCTCAGAGCCACTGGCCCTCTGCACGGCTGGCGCTCCGAGGACAGCCTCCCACCGCAGCGTCTGGACACGCTGCGGCAGAAAAGTCAGCGAAAGGAGCACTATTTTAGCGCTCCTTTCAGGGGCGGCGAAGGTGCGCCACAGGATCGAGGCGTGGGGATGCCTCGGTCCCGCGGCACACCTTCCCAGGGCGGCCCCATACCACCAGTCTGCTTAGGCCCTTTATTTCTTAACAGATCTTGGAGCAGGATGAGATTTCATAAAGCTCTCCATCAGGAAGAAAGAAGTTGTAGAATTTTATGGTACCTCATTCTGCTCCCAAATCTGTTAAGGGTTAAAGTTACAGGAGTCTCAACCTGCATCCAATCCAGCAAACCTAAATGTGTCACAGTTAGGCTCTCCCTCCTCAAGTACAATCTCTTGGGAAATTCCCAATTGCATTCCAGTTCCATCTTACACAGCAAAACTGGACAGTGGGAATAACTGGACAATGGAAAGTTTTTGTCCCCTTGCCTAAAGCTTTAATTGCAATGCAGGGATGATGGTGATGGGTTTCAGTATGTGAGGAGGGTTTCAGTATGTGAGGAGGAGAATGTACATTTTTCTTCTCCCAGCTGCAAATTTTCTTGAATATTGTCACCTGTGTGGCAACTTACTAAAGTGAGAAAGAAAACCACTATTTAGCACAAATGGACATCCAGGGCTCAGTGGAAGAAATCTAGGCCAAGACCATACAATATTCTTCCTGGTATCCATAAACTTAGCCAGTGGGCCCTTTTCTTAACTGAAGGACTGTCACCCTTCACAATACCCTGGTCTATACCTGTCTGTCTCTTTTTATCACCCCATAAAACAACCTCTCTAGGTTCTTTGCATCAGTCAAAGCATCATCAGCATCAGTAAAAATCACAATAGTTCATTAAAATTTGGCACTGTGTTAAAAACATAGTAATATGCCTTGTGCTCTCAACCTCAGAGAAGGCAGTGGCAAACCTCCTCTGAACAAATCTTGTAAAGAAAACTCATATAAGCTCACCTTAGGGTTGCCATAAGTCAGAAACAACTTGAAGGCAACTTGAACAACATACCAGTACATAAGATAGCACATAGATTGCAAAAGTTAAAAGGAACATTAAGGCACAGGACCTAAAACACACCACAAGGATCTTCTATGTAAGAGACCTGAAATATTTCAGGGTTAGAATTAGGGTTAGAGTTAGGGTTAAGGTGTGGATGGCTTGCAAAAGGATACTTCAGCATTCCACTTTCATCCAGTCCTGCTTTTCCTGAAATCACCTCCTACTTTATATCTGAGCAGCAGCCGTACATTCCAACACAAGAGTGAAGAACTTTTTGCCCTCTCAAAGTTTTGGACTATAACCCCCATAATCCTTTACCACAAGCCATTCCATCTGAGAGTTGGAATCCAAAGCATAACAGCTGTTCAAAGTTTCACCACACTTATTCTGGTGCTCTTCTCCTCACATCTAGGCAACCCTACAGAAACCAAATAATGAAAAATGATATACTTTCTATAGTTTTTGCCATAGCTTTGGAAAACAATTGGCCATAGGGAGTTTCAGTCTAAAAAACTAACTTTTCCCAGCTCTGCCTTTTAAAGATTCACCTTTGTTTGTTGTAGGTCTATTTTTTTCCCAAATGAAGGCTGAATTGCACTGAAGAGATGAACCCATCTCCTTTCTTGTAATAGAACCCCAGCTAGTCCTGAGACTGTCCTGGCAGAGGGAAGCAGTGTTTGACTAAGGCTTGCAAGACCATGTTAAAGGATCATTGTTAATGCTCGTCTTGGCTTTCTTCTGTGGAGGGGATTGAACTAAAGTGGTTTCTGTGCAAACTGTGCTGTGTAAACATCAGCAGGTGATGCTCTATTAACTCAGCTAATGCAGTTCTGACACACTGGATCTTCAAAATCTTTGCATATTTTTATGACAGTAATAGACCAGTACAATTTGCACACAAGTATTGACCATTGCAGTTATTTTGGACATATTATAGGCTAACATGATCTAGGTGGCTGGTGGTGGCTTCCATGTCAATAGGACTGTGGTTGAAATCTTACATCAAACAGGCTGAGACTATCTTGTCCTGAGACTGTCCGCCTATAAAGTTCTACGAGCTCTTCTCTTCCTAGCAGCTAGGAAGGCAATTCAAATGAGGAAGAAGAAGGTGGGCTTGGCTGTAGTTGCATCTTCATTATCTGAATTGCCTCCCTGCTTTCTCCTCTACTTAGCAATAGCCACTTCTGAAGACTGATAGCTGTTGGGGGCAGGTTTTGGATGGGGTGCAGCAGAGAAAACATCCCCCTGCTCCCCATCCAAAGACAGACATACTTGTGTGTAACTCACACTTACATGTGTGTATGTCACCAACAGGATGCCACCCAGCAAAGCCACATTAGGATTTGTTTGTATTTTAAAGGTGCTATTTTAAAGTGCTGGACCTATTTTAAGGGCAGCACCTGAGATAGTTTATTTAAAGTCTGGCCTAAAACCCAGAGAATATTCACCACCCTACTGCATTGGTATCCCTAGGGTTGGTGTCACCTGGTGCTGTCACTCATGAGGGGGCTTCAGTGCACATGAGAGTGCATGCACACAGCCAGAGAAGTCTTGTGCACCCCCAGGGAGGGCTGGGGCGAAGTTGCCAGGCCCTGGGAAGGGTGGGAGAAGTCCCACACTCCCCCAAGGAGGGCTGGGACAAAGCTGCTGGGCCCTGAGAAGGGTCAGAAAAGCCCTGCACACATCCAGTGAGGGCTGGGGAAAACCACCGGGCCCCAGGAAGGGCTGGAGACTGACCAGGTGTCACCCCTCTTCTGAGCTGTCACCTGGTGTGGTCTGCACCCCCTGCACCATCCATTGATGCTACTGCTCTACTGGCATGGAAGCCACCAGCTACTACACTTGTCCCTCCACACTTGCTGGAGTTAGGGGCACAGGACTCCCATGAATGTGGAAAAACTGCAAATAACAAAAACCCTATGTTTTTACCTGAGAGAACACCACTCTAGGAATCTCTAGGTCCTCCAGTGCAACTCTGTGGTCAGCATCTGCCAGACATTGACCATAGAATTGTGCTGGAGGAGCTACCAATGCCTAATGGAGTGTTCTCTCTAGGAATCTCTAGGTCCTTCAGTATGATTTTTGGTTAAGCTTGAACATAGAGTTGTGCTGGAGGATCTAGATATCGCTAGAGGGAGCATATTAATAAAATCCGTGAATAATCAAATCTGCAAAAGTCAAAACCACAAATGTGGAGGGACGAGTGTACTGCACAGTGCCCACCCCAAAATGGATAATAATAATAATAATAATAATAAATTTTATTTCTAGCCCGC